CTGCCTCCACCTCCCAAGACCTAGGATTTCAGGCGTATATCACCATGCCCAGGTTAGCTTCCATGTAAACTTAATTTTTAGGAGTGTGGGTGTTTGCCTTTATGGATGTGTCTGTACACCATGTACATACAGTGCCCGCAGATACCAGAAGAGGCACTGGGTCCCCTGGGACTGTACTTAGCGGACTGTTGGGGCTACCATGTGGGTTCTAGGAATCAAACTTGGGTCCTCTGGAAGAGCAGGTAGTGGTTTTCAGTGAGCCCTTTCTCTCGCTCCTATAACCTTTACTTTTAAATAGTACTGACAGGAAGTTGATCCCTTTTCTCTCCAGCTGTACCCTGGGAGGAGGAGTGTTTTCTACTTGGAATAAGTTTACTGGCCAACTGAGGGCCTCCAGGCTCACGGAGAGACCTCCGTCAGAAGGAGAGCGGCCCAGCGAGCGTATCCTAGCCAGTTAAAGCCCAGGCTGAGCGTATTCTAGCCCAGTTAAAGCCCAGGCTGAGCGTATTCTAGCCCAGTTAAAGCCCAGCGAGCGTATCCTAGCCCAGTTAAAGCCCAGGCTGAGCGTATCCTAGCCCAGTTAAAGCCCAGGCTGAGCGTATTCTAGCCCAGTTAAAGCCCAGGCTGAGCGTATTCTAGCCCAGTTAAAGCCCAGCGAGCGTATCCTAGCCCAGTTAAAGCCCAGGCGGAGCGTATCCTAGCCCAGTTAAAGCCCAGGCTGAGCGTATTCTAGCCCAGTTAAAGCCCAGGCTGAGCGTATCCTAGCCCAGTTAAAGCCCAGCGAGCGTATCCTAGCCCAGTTAAAGCCCAGGCTGAGCATATCCTAGCCCAGTTAAAGCCCAGGCTGAGCGTATTCTAGCCCAGTTAAAGCCCAGCGAGCGTATCCTAGCCCAGTTAAAGCCCAGGCTGAGCATATCCTAGCCCAGTTAAAGCCCAGGCTGAGTGTATCCTAGCCCAGTTAAAGCCCAGGCGGAGCGTATCCTAGCCCAGTTAAAGCCCAGGCTGAGCGTATTCTAGCCCAGTTAAAGCCCAGGCTGAGCGTATCCTAGCCCAGTTAAAGCCCAGGCGGAGCGTATTCTAGCCCAGTTAAAGCCCAGGCTGAGCGTATCCTAGCCCAGTTAAAGCCCAGGCTGAGCGTATTCTAGCCCAGTTAAAGCCCAGGCGGAGTGTATTCTAGCCCAGTTAAAGCCCAGGCTGAGCGTATCCTAGCCCAGTTAAAGCCCAGGCTGAGCGTCAGGCCTGGCCGTCGCAGAGCCTGCTGAGTGTCCCCCTGTGGATCACAACTGAACCTTCCTTGACAAGCACATGGAGAAGCTTTGTTCCCAAACTCTCTAGGACCAGGAATTAACCCAGCTGGTACTGAAGGCACAGAGTTCAATTCTGGAAAGAAATTATTTAACTCTTTCTATGCTAGACAGCTGATACCTGATTTCCTTTATAGTCCCTTCAGGTCAGGCATGATGATCTACACCTATAGTGCCAGCACTGAGGAGGCTGAGGCAGGAGAATCTCCAATTCAAAGCCAGGCATATATATAATCTTATTCATTCATTCATTCATTTTCAGAGAGCTGTGTTTTACTTAAGTTGTGTAAGTGAGATTCCTATTCATCTTCCCCTTCACTGTTTGATTTACACAGCACACATTTTTCTATAGGGTAGTCCATAGTCAAAGATTTTTAGCCTCTCCTCCTGAAAGTACAGCCATCATATTCTTTCATCAGCTTGATACAGTATAAATTCTTATCCTAATAGTGAAATGTTTCACTGAGGCTTGCCCAGTGATTGGGTAAAACCAAAACTTATTATAAGCCTCAGTCATCCTAGGGTCCCCCCTGCTAGGTAGCCTCCCTGGATCTGTGGGTTGCAGTCTGATTGTCCTTTGCTGTATATGTAGGATCCACTTATGAGTGAGTCCATACCATGTTTGTTCTTCTGGGCTTGGGTTACCTCACTCAGGATGATATTTTCTAGTTCCGTACATTTTCCTGCAAATTTCATGATGTTATTGTTTTTCTCTGCTGAGTAGTACTCCATTGTGTATATGTACCACATTTTCTCAATCCATTCTTCAGTTGACGGGCATCTAGGTTGTTTGCAGGTTCTGGCTATTACAAATAATGCTGCTATGAACATAGTTGAGCATGTGTCCTTGTGGTGTGTCTGGGTCTTGAGGTAGATCGATTCCCAATTTTCTGAGAAACAGCCATACTGATTTCCACAGTGGTTGTACAAGTTTGAATTCCCGCCAACAGTGGAGGAGTGTTCCCTTTGCTCCGCATCCTCTCCAACATTGACTGTCATTAGTGTTTTTGATCATAGCCATTCTGACAGGTGTAAAGTGGTATCTCAGAGTCATTTTGATTTGCATTTCTCCGATGATTAAGGATGTCGAACATTTCTTTAAATGTCTTTCAGCCATTTGAGATTCTTCTTTTGAGAAGTCTCTGTTTAGCTCTTTAGCCCATTTTTTAATTGGATTGTTCATTGTTTTGATGTCTAGTTTCTTGAGTTCTTTATATACTTTGGAGATCAGTCCTCTGTCAGATGGGTCAGCAAAGATCTTTTCCCATTCTGTAAGCTGTCTTTTTGTCTTATTGACCCTGTCTTTTGCCCTACAAAAGCTTCTCAGTTTCAAGAGGTCCCATTTATTAATTGTTGTTCTCAGTGTCTGTGCTGCTGGTGTTACATTTAGGGAGTGATCTCCTGTGCCAATATGTTCAAGTGTACTTCCTACTTTCTCTTCTATCAAGTTTAGTGTAACTGGATTTATATTGAGGTCTTTGATCCACTTGGACTTGAGTTTTGTGCATGGTGACAGATATGGATCTATTTGTAATCTTTTACATGTTGACATCCAGTTATGCCAGCACCATTTGTTGAAGATACTTTCTTTTTTCCATTGTATAGTTTTGGCTTCTTTTTCAAAAATCAGGTGTTCATATGTTGTGGATTAATGTCAGAGTCTTCAATTGGATTCCATTGGTCCGTATGTCGGTTTTTATGGCAGTACCAAGCTGTTTTTATTACTATAGCTCTATAGTAGAGCTTGAGGTCAGGGATAGTATTATTATTATTGGCTTTTTTGGAGAGAGAGATGGTTTCTCTAAGTCTTTCTAAAAGTCAGCATTTGTTTGGGACAGTTGAAAAGTAGTCTCAGCTGAGTGGTGGTGGTGCTGCTGCTGCATTCCTGTAATCTCTTGAGTTCAAGGCCAGCCTGGGCTACACAGAGAAACCCTGCCTTGAAAACCAAACAAACAACACAAAAAGATAGTCTCTCCTTTTGGGGGTGGCTACTAATGGGACTAAAAGGGGAACTTTTCAGTTTATAATGTCAGCTTATTTCATTTGTGCATTTTAGATAGCTGTTGGTTTGTATATGAAGAAATATAAAATGTATATAAGCCCTTTTCTGCTCTATGTATCTGAGGCTAGAGAAAGACACTTAAGAAACCAGGATAAAGGGAAAAATGACTTTGAGATGTACTTTCTTAAAATAACTGGAGGAATGACCTCATGAGCCAGCTGATAGCATGGGTTTGCAAGTGGATACAGTTCTATTAGCCTGCTGCTTGATGCCTCAGAGTCAAATAGACCTGAAGTGTATTATATCAGAGTCTGTAGGCAGGAGACTGTCTGAGTAGGAAGAACTTAGAAGAGGTGAAGTGGCGTTGTCTGCACAGGAATTAACCAAGTCTGCCTTTGTTACATAAGCATAGATGATGTAGGTCCATGGTTCCCTACTATATAGCAATTTGTATTGTCTTCTGGTAGAATGGGATTTCATATTTATTAGAAGAACTATAGGAACACCTAGTAGATACATTCTTCCATATTACAGTATTGACGTACGCATTCTGAGTCTAACTCCTTGTTCAGAATGCTCCTCTCCTTCTGGTTTTATGGTACAAAGGCAGCACAGATGCGTCCTTGGTGCATGCAGGATGCTGCTCTCTGTGCAGTCTAAGATTTTTAACTTGATAAACTGCTTTTCTTGCCCCAAATCATCACCCTTGCTGAAGAATATTCACAGCATAGACCTTCCTAAGCATGTGCACTAGTTACTTTGCCAGGAAATAAGTATGTCAGCTGAGTGTGGTTTAAACCTGGTTTGGTCTCAGTTAGCTTTACAAAATCAAGCTGAATGAAGTCCATAATGTATTTAGAGTACACAGGTGTTAATGCATCTGCCTCTGAGACTTGTGGACACTAGCCCGGCTTCCAAGGAGCTTGGTAGAAGAATTCCTGGGTTATTTTCACCTTACTAGCTGGAAAGCAGTTTATTTTCATATATTTTATAAGCATCCACCTCTTCATGGATGCAATTCACCTTTTAGTGTTTGTAATATTTTTCATTTGACTCTCTCAAGTTCCTGTTCCAGAGTCATCTAATCTACAGATACTGACGGTTCGACCTGCTGCTCACTTTTTCTTCTGCTCTTTGGCTACCACCTCCAGAACAATGCTGGCACACCCTGACATGGACTGTTAACTCATGCAAATTCTAGAAGAAAAATAAGCCGGAGTGCCAGTAGTGTCTCAGGAGACAGAGATTGTTGCCCTTTTTCTTTCTTTCTTTCTTTTTTTTTTTGTTTGTTTTTGTTTTTGTTTTTCCAGACAGGGTTTCTCTGTGTACTTTTGGTGCCTGTCCTGGATCTGTAGACCAGGCTGGATTTGAACTGACAGATCCACCTGGCTCTGCCTCCCAAGTGCTGGGATTAAAGGCGTGCACCCACCACCGCCACCCGGCCGCATTTTAAGAACAAGTCTACAAAATGCAGCTTTTAAGGTCTCCTTAACCAACAGATTTATCCTCCACAATCGTCCATGGAGCAGAAGTAACTTGTAGGAAGCAATGGGCTGTCAGCAGTCATGTTTGGAATTTTCTGGTATCCTTCCTGAGGATTCCCTGTTTCATGATCTTAGGTTTGGTGGGGGCCACGAGCACATCCCAGGTGTTCATCAGGAGTTCATTGTGATGACCATGCTCTTCTCTTTCAGGCTCAGCTTCGGGCGTTTATCCCAGAGATGCTCAAGTATTCCACAGGTCGGGGGAAACCAGGCTGGGGGAAGGAAAGCTGCAAACCTATCTGGTGGCCAGAAGACATCCCATGGGCCAATGTCCGCAGTGATGTCCGCACAGAAGAGCAAAAGCAGAGGGTGAGTTCCTCTGAGCTACCATTGCCTTACCATTCTGAATCAGTTGCTGAATTCTATCACCTCTGCTTCTTCTGCTACAAAGTCCGAACATTTTACAATAGTTAAGCTTGTCCCTCCAAAGAAGTTGGCTGTCCATTACTCCATTACTGCACACAAAAAGATCTGGAAAGGCTGTGAATTTATACGTCGTTTCTTCATAGCTGCCTTTTGCAAAAGCTTTGTGGTATTTATGGTATTAGAGAAAACCAGAAGAACTTGAAGTAAGAGTATTTAGTCATTTGAAAGCTTAGAAATGTCCTTATTTCTGATTAGCGAGAGTCACTGTTGAGCTGGGTGTTGTGGCACATGTCTGTAACCCTAGCACTCATGCTAAAGCATGAGAATCTCTAGTTTAGGCCAGCCTGGACAACATAGTGAGTTCTAGGCCAAACCTACCTGAAAACAAAAAAACAAAAACAATCTCTGTTGAGGGGCTAGAGAGATAGTTGTGGGTAAGAGTCCTTGCTGATGTTGCAGAAAACCCGAGTTCGTTTCCTAACAGTCATGTCAGGTGGCTCACAGCCACATGTAGTTCCAGGACCAGTGACTAAGCCAGCTGGTACTGAAGACACGGAGTTCAGTTCTGGAAAGGAATTATTTAACTCTTTCAATGCCAGACAGATGATAACTGATTTCCCCTTATAGACCCAACACTCTTCTGGACTCCGTGGGCACCTTCACACACTGAGACACACTCAGACACAAACAGATATATATATATATATATATATATATATATATATATATACATACATACATGCATACAGAGAAAAACTTTTGAAAGAATCACTACTGAAATTAGATAGGATTAGAGGGGAAGTCTACAAAGTGTGTGTATTAATTACACAGCATTTGGAGAAGACAGACTGAATTAGACAACGTTCCTTACTTTTCCTATACATTTGGTTTCTTATTTTATCTGGAAGTTTAGTAAGAGACTTAATATATAATTCTTGATCATAGTGATATCTCTTAAAACCTAAAACCAAGACTAAATTAGACCTTGGTTAGGAAGCAAAGCAGGGGAAAAAAACATCATTTTACTTAGGGAAATCCTAAGATGAACTCTACAAAAGGTTCAATAAATAACACGGCTGACTATTCCGTAGTGGCCTAAACACCAAAGTTCTCTGTGACTTATTGTTCTTTCCTGGTCTTTGGTAACAGGTTTCATGGACCCAAGCATTACGGACCATAGTTAAAAATTGTTACAAGCAACATGGGCGCGAAGATCTTTTATATGCTTTTGAAGATCAGCAAACACAGACACAGGCCACCACCACACACAGTATAGCCCACCTCGTACCGTCACAGACCGTAGTACAGACCTTCAGCAACCCTGATGGCACCGTGTCGCTCATCCAGGTAAGCCTGGGCTCAGGGGAGGTGGGTCAGTGGCATCTCACCCCAGACTGGAGAAGTTTCCTGTGCAGATGCTTTTCTGATCGTTGGATAGCTGCCCTAGCTCTTCCTACCTAGAATTAACTTGTTAACAGTGTTCTTTTTTTTTTTTTTTTATTTCATTTTCTTGTGATGCTTGGAATGCGACTGAGGGCCTCACCCACACTAGGAAAGTACTCTACCACATGGCCACATCCTACCTCTAGCCTTGGAACAGTATTTTACATTGCTTGCATTTTGCTTAATTCAGAGCGATAAGTAGCTTCTGGGACATTTCCAAACGAAACATTTGAAAATCGTTTCTTGGGTTAGGGTCCACTTGAGTGGTAGAATGCTTGCCTAGCGTGTAGAAGACCTATCACCTGTGGAGAGAACTAGAGAAGAGGATTTGGGGAGGGAGAAAGGGAAGGAGAGAGAGAGATGAGCGTACTTGAATCGACACCCGGGGAAATACCTCTTCAGAGGTGAAACACCTTTATTGACAGAAGAGGACTCTCTAAAGCCCAGGTTGGGGTTAGAGAAGAATGTTGGTTGACTGGTACCAAGTACTAGAGGAGAATGCAGTCACTCTTCTGATACTGATTTGGTTAAAGTAAAATTCTGAAACTCATGCTAGTCTCTGAGAGATGATTTTAGTAGTTTTCTCCATGTCACAAGGCATATTATGCTGAATTTGGGGCTCAGTGAGTCTTAGCTTATATTGTAAGGGCAGGCAGAGGGGCCCATCCACCAGCACTTAACTTCCTGTGTTTCTTAGGTTGGTACGGGGGCAACAGTAGCTACATTGGCTGATGCTTCAGAACTGCCAACCACAGTCACTGTTGCCCAAGTGAATTATTCTGCTGTGGCTGATGGAGAGGTAAGAAAAAGATCTCTGTGTGCTCCTATTGAAATAGTGCATGAATAAGTAAGGAGAAGTCAAAAAAGGCCCAGGAGACGAAGGGAAGCCTTGTATTATTATTTGAACCCTTGTAATATCTATCAGACCGTGACAGTTTGGACAGTTTTTTAAAGATTTATTTATTTAGTATACAGCATGTATGACTGCAGGTCAGAAGAGGGCACCAGATCTCATTATAGATGGTTGTGATCCACCATGTGGTTGCTGGGAATTGAACTCAGGACCCCTGGAAGAGCAGTCAGTGCTCTTAACCTCTGATCCCTCTCTCCAGCCCCCTGGAGAAGTATCTTAAACTGTGTATGTTACTTATAACAATTAAAATTCGAGGATCACTGCAACCCAAACCGGCCTGTTAGAAACTTAGAATTTCACATTTGTGATCGAGTATTTTGTATATTGTATACACGATAAAAGGGGTTATCCTTTCAAGGCTTTTACAAGAAAAGCCATTTCAGGGTTCCCATGCTGAGCATAGGCAAAGTAAGTAGTTGCAAACAAACAAACAAACAAAACCCTCTAACCTTAAGCAGTTTAAAGCTATTTAAGGACACTGTACAAAATTACGTGGACATTTAGAATTCCACATTAAATTGTAAAGTAAACTATGTATGTTGATTTTAAAAATATGTAATTTATTTAAAGATGCAGTTGGCTTAAGAAATGATTCTGTTGTACAGTGGGGACCACCAGTTGTTATTGGTCATGTTGATTGATTGCATTAGACATCAGAAAAATCGAATGATACCTGATGATAATGGTATATGTAATTCTGCTGGACAAAGGAAAAAAACCACCCAAGTACAAAGACATTAAAGATGTGAATTCATCCAGCATTGGTGGCGCACACATTTAATAGCAGCTCTTGAGAGGAAGAGGCAGATGGATCTCTGTGAGTTCGAGACCAGCCTGGCCTACAAAGCAAGTTCCAGGACAGCCACAGTGATTATACAGAGAAATCCTGTCTCGAGAAGCTGGGGGGGGGGGGGGGGGGGATGTGAATTCAAAGTGGGACATGAGCACATGTGATGAGTTTAGAATTGTATGACATTTTGTTAGGTTCTTTTGGGAGGGGCGTTAATTTTTTTTTTAAGATTTATTTATTTATTATGTATACAGAAGAGGGCGCCAGATCTCATTACAGATGGTTGTGAGCCACCACGTGGGTACTGGGAATTGAACTCAGGACCTCTGGAAGAGCAGTCGGTGCTCTTAACCTCTAAGCTATCATCTCTCCAGCCCCTTGTTAGGTTCTTAATGAATATCAATTCAGCTGATACATGGATAGGCCAATAACAAGTAGGAAAATAAAGGTGTATGTTCTCTACCCACACACTCAGTAAATGCTTTTGGAGCCCTGTGCCAGGCTCTGAAGTCTAGATCAGGACAATAAGGACTATACCCTCTTCCATAAGGGACCACATAGGGTGGTGGGGAAATCCATGACTCACCATTCAGTGAGCAGCTGCAGGAGATGAGTTTGGGCCCCGGGTGCAGTGGATTTGTTTCTGGGTGCTCACCAGGGGAGTAATGGACCTGAGCTCAGACTAAGGGGAAGCGAGCAAAAGCAAAGGCTGCAGGGACAGGCCTGTGTCCCAGCCAAGGCAGCAAGCATTCCATGACCTGAGCTTTGAAAATGTGGAATGGCTACAGTGGCTTGCTCCAGCTAGACATAAGAGGAGCCACCATTTGAAGTGCCTCAGCACAGTGAGTTTCTCTCAGCAAGGCAGTAGGATATCTTCTGACTAGCTTTACCTCTTGGGCTTAGAGCTCTGTCTTTGGAACATGGTAGCATACAGGCACATCCAGTTACACACAGGAAGGAAAGAATGACAGGCACTCAAGCAAACATGCTTAGAAGTAGGCAGTGCCAGGCCGGACGGTGGTGGTGCAGGTGGTGGTGCACGCCTTTAACCCCAGCACTCAGGAGGCAGAGCCAGGTGGATCTCTGTGAGTTCGAGGCCAGCCTGGTCTACAGAATAAGATCCAGGACAGGCACCAAAACCACACAGAGAAACCCTGTCTCGAAAAACAAAAAACAAAAAACAAAAAAAAAAAAGAAAGAAAGAAAGAAAAGAAAAAGTAGGTCATACCAACCAAGTCTGTCTTCTGCCTCCCATCCAAACCCAACAGTTTTCTCTGTTTCTTTCCCCTGGCCTCCTTCCTTTCCTGTCTTTCTTCTTGACAAGGTCTTGCTATATAGCCCAGGCTGGCCTGAGATTTGGGAGCCTCCTCAATGCTGGGATTTAGGTGGGTGTGGCCATATTTGACTCAAAGTATTTTCAGTGATTTCTCTTGTGTGCTTCCGAACTTTTTGATACAGACACTATGAATTCAAATGTAAATTCTAGCAGTTCTCCTTTTTTTTTTTTTTTTTTTTTTTTCGAGACAGGGTTTCTCTGTGTAGCTTTGCGCCTCTCCTGGAACTCACTTGGTAGCCCAGGCTGGCCTCGAACTCACAGAGATTCTCCTGGCTGTGCCTCCTGAGTGCTAGGATTAAAGGCGTGCGCCACCACCGCCCGGCTCAGTTCTCCTTTTTGATACAGACACTATCGATTCAGATGTAAATTCTAACAGTTCTCCTTTTTGATACAGACACTATCGATTCAGATGTAAATTCTAACAGTTCTCCTTTTTGATACAGACACTATCGATTCAGATGTAAATTCTAACAGTTCTCCTTTTTGATACAGACACTATCGATTCAGATGTAAATTCTAACAGTTCTCCTTTTTGCACAAAATGTAGCATACTGAAACTCTCCCCGTATATAATAGGTCAGGTTGCGTGCATTCATTTGGCTGAAAAACATAGTGACACTATGCTTTGACTTTTGACTGTCCTTGTCCTTTCTGCCTCAGGTGGAACAAAATTGGGCCACGTTACAGGGAGGTGAAATGACCATCCAGACAACGCAAGCGTCAGAGGCCACTCAGGCGGTGGCCTCACTGGCAGAAGCCGCAGTGGCAGCTTCTCAGGAGATGCAGCAGGGAGCTACTGTCACCATGGCACTCAACAGGTGGAGGCAGGGGTGGGGAGTGAATGGGATCGCAGGTCTGTCCGTCCTAAGAGAGCCGCATTCCTCCTCAGTCAGAGCTGACTGCTCCTTAGACGCTGCAGGCTGGGTTGTTTTGTTCTCTGCATCCTGGGAATGGAGCTCCCAGGCCCTTGTGCATGTTTGGCAAACATTCTAATACTGAGTTACTGTGCTTTCGTTTCTAATGAGCCCTCATCAAGAAAAATTGAACACTTCCTCTTTAGGGATATTTAGGAAGAGCACTGCAAGAAGAGAGAGGCCTTTTCCAGCACAGAATGGCATGTTCCCTTCTGGCCACTTCCTACTGATTCTTGACAGGAAAGATCACCCCTGTGTTATTCTTCATTCTTGACACAAGTTTATTTTCAGCATTCCCAGGCATTTTCATCAGTCATTAAGAACAGGGACCTGAAAGTCACCCTGCCCTGTCACTTGTTAGCTGGCTGCCCTTGAACAGTAGTTAACTCTGAGTGCCCAGGGTTTCTTTTCTCTAGACTGGGAGTAATACCTCTCTGCCTGCCTTGAGGGGGTGTTAAGACAGCTGGAGTCCCTGCGGGTGAGGTCCTTGGATCAGGGCCTGGCATGTGGTAGGGCTGCTGCTAATCATCCTGTGCAGCCTTAGTTTCCCAGAGTTCTTGACCTCCATGGCAAGCCAGAACTCTTACAGGTGAGGCTGTGAGTAGAGAGGAGTGTGGCAGCACACAGTCTAGCTCTCAAAGAAGTCTTGCTAACCACCTAACAGGTGATACTAGAATGTTCTTTGCTATTAAATTGTGGAGCTCTGACTGAACATTGTAGAAGTCTAGAGAGAGGAACTACCTTCCCTGGAATACAAAAATCAGCAGAACTGTAGATTGGAGGGCTGTTTTTGTTGTTAAATAAACTGCTTTTTGAAGGGTAGGTCTAGATGGCTGGAGAACATTGATGCATTTGTGTGCTGTATGAAGCAGTGTGTTGTTTGAGAAGAGGATTCCAAAGTCACATAGATTTCTGGTTTGAATCCCAGCTAAACCATTTGTTAGTCATTTGCCCCTAAGAACCTTAGCCCCTAGTCTTTGTTATTGTAAGATAATATTCACCAACTGACTAAAGACCAGTGAGACCATATATATAAAGCTCTTAGAGGCATCCAGTTCATGTTAACACTTACGGAGTTCCATCTGTCTTCCTTTCTTCTTTCTTTCCCTTCCTTTTTCCTGCCTCCTCTCCGTTTATCCCTCCCCATCCCTCCTCCCTCTCTCCCTCTGTTCACCTCCCTCTCCCCTCTTTCTTTCTTCCAGAGAGTCTTACTCTGTAGCCCAGGCTGGCCTTGATCACATGGTGTCCTCCTGCCTTAGCCTCCTGAGTACTGAGGTTATAGGTGTGAGCCACCGTGCTCCTCTTATTGAAATTATACTTCAAGGGGCTAGGGGGCTTAGCTCCACGGAGAGTCCGGCATGGGTGAGGCCCTGGGTTCAAGACTGACTAATCAGAATATGATAGTGAAGCATGACTATAAAAGCAGTCAGGATGAGGCAACCCAGAATCCAGGTGTGCTTTGTTAAAGGCTTAGAAACCAGTCATTTGAAGGAAGCCATGGCGAAGATGTGCTTGGTCAGACTCCTAAGACTGAGACACAGGCATGTGCTCACCCTTGGCCTCTCACACTTACCAAATAAATTTATTTCTGTATGACCTGGAGCTGACACTTCCCAGCCCGGTGATCTGTGTACTGTTCAGAATCATGGAAGTCGTAACTGTTCTGTACATCTTGGCCCTCTTCCACTCCTTCCTTTCAGATACTCAGATAAATTTCCTGAAGGGCTTCATCGGAGGGAGAGCCTCCCACCTTCAGTGGGGTGTCCCTTACTGTTACTTTGGGTCTAACCAGGCAAGACCAGCAAACCAGAGCATTCTAGTCAGCACCTTGACTTCCAGTGACATGTGGTGTCCTGGGAACCTGCACATAGTGGAAAATCTGAGGCACATTCTGGCTCCTTTGCTGTGAGGATCAGCTTATTTCTGAAGCAGTGAACATAATGGTATCCCCTGAGGGCTTGTTAACACAACTGGGGTGCAGCTGAGGTAGCTACAATGTTTACTCCAGAAAGGAGAGTGTGCTTCACTGGGGCTTGAAGGAGGAGCAAAGAGATGCTGAAATCTGTTTGCAATCAGGTAGTCCAGTGCTCAGTGAGTCCTGGGGGTGATGTGTTGCAGCTTCTGGCAGAAGCCAAGCCTGGTAGCAAAGCAAGCTGTACCGCACGGTTAACGGCTCTGTCAGGAGGGCTGGGTCTAAGACACCCCTTACTGAGTGAGTCTCTGCACGAGGCGCAATGGAGTCCTTTATCCCCACAAAATTCATTGTTGGAAGTCCTCCTGCTGAAAAATACACCGAGAACGCTGGTCTTCGTTCCTATGGCAACAAAGTGATTTCATAATCTGTGGCCAGCCTCTGTTTCAGGTGCAGATGGAACAAGCATGGTTCTCTAATAACCACCCGCACCTCTGCTGCGCTGTAAACAGCAGATGTGAGTGCAGGGTGAGGAAGGAGAAGCAGCTGTGGGGAAAGGCAGATAGGGGCCTAAGAAGGCAGGAGGTTCCTTCATCCACTAGACGGGAAGGGGTCAGGACAGCTGCAGGACAGACCTGTTTTTCAACTATGCTGTTAAAAGAATTTTTACAGCAAGTCAGAACAGGACCAGGGCTACACAGCCTTAGCCCACCCTAGCTCCATAACAACCCAAAGGACTGGGAAAGTTACCAGTATTCAAATAAAGAATAAATTTCAAATAAAGAATAAACCAACACTTTTAGGAAGGAGCTGGGAAGGGAATCATGGTGAACAAATAAAGAACAGAGCATCTCTCTCTCTCTCTCTCTCTCTCTCTCTCTCTCTCACACACACACACACACACACACACACACACACACACACACACACCAAACAAATAAAAACTCACTTTCCAACCTAGACAAGCAGCAGGGAAGGGAAGTGATGCCATCATTCCTGATGATGGATGGCTGCTGCTTCTCTTCACTAGCTTAGCGCTGCTGTCCTCACGGTCCCTCTAAGCGGACTGCCCTGCAAAGAGACTGCTCAAGTCCACCGTTCAGCACTGCATAGAGCTGTGTGGTGGGGTTGTGGACGGGGCCTGTACTCACCTTAGGAAGAGCCTGCCTCGGCCTCGGCCTGTGTTGTCAGGATGGGATTTGTGTCTGCTAAGCACGGTGCCTCCACCCGGCATGGTGAGGAGACTGGAGCTTGTGTCACTTCTTTTCAGGGAACTTAGAATGGGCCCTTCTTTAACTGTGGAGACTGCTTTAAAAAGAAGTAAGATAGCATGGTATTTTTTAATACGCGCATGTCCTGACGCCAGCACTCCGGCTCCGGCAGAAGCAGGAGATGGGCTAGAAGTTCCAGGTCAGCCGCCAAGGCTCCTTAGCAAAGCCCAACTCAGACAAACAGCAGCAAACACAGAGGAAACAAGGGACAGGTGGAAGGAAGGGGGAAAAGTAAACCATATTTTGAAATAAGGTTCACTCTTTTATTTTTAACTAATACACAAATATACTTATTTAGGGAGTAGCATGATGTTTCAGTACATTCTTATACTCTTCTTCAAGCTGAAAATATTAGAGACGTCTTTAAAATATAATGTTGCGTTAGTATTTAGATTGACATTAGTCTAATAAGATGGGATGGATAATGTAAATCAGAATGTCCTTACCTACAGTAGGTAAGGACTATGCTCTTTCCTGTAATTAAAATTGGATATGTACAAATAAAAGGTTGGAGGCCAGGCAGTGGTGGCGCACGCCTTTAATCCCAGCACTCGGGAGGCAGAGGCAGGAGGATCTCCATGAGTTCGAGGCCTGCCTGATTTACGGAACAAGTTCCAGGGCAGGCTCCAAAGCTACACAGAGAAACCCTGTGTATGGGGGTGGTGGTGGTGATGGGGTGGGGTCTTGGAGATAGCTTAGTTAGTAAGATATTTTTTGTTGTTGGCGGGGGGCACAGACCTGAGTTTGATCCCCATACCCCAGCCACAGAGTATGAGGCCTTGCTGGCCAGCCAACCTAACCTTATGGGTGAACTCCATGCCACTGAGAGACCCTGCCTCAAAAAACAAGGTGGACCTCTGGCAACACACACACACTGATGGGAACCATTCTTTTGTAGTTCTGGTTTGAAAATGAATTTTGAGTAAAATTTACAAAGTGGTAGCTTAATCCCTGTATACATTTAAGCAATTAAAAAAAATTAAGATTTATTTTGTGTGTATAAGTATTTTGCCTGCATGTGTGTATGTATGCCACAGGCATGCTGGTCCCATTAGAAGTCAGAAGAGAGTTTCAGATCCCCCGGAACTGGAATTACAGGTAGTTATGAGCTACCACATGGGTGCTGGGAATCAAACCTGAGCCCCCCACTAGAACAGCCAGGGCTCTCAACTACTGAGCCCTCCCTCCAGTTCCTAAGTTAATGATTTCCCTTCAATATTGAGAATTGAACCTGTGACCTCACACTTACTTGCTGGGCACATACATATCTCCTCAGTACTTTTTTTAAGTTTTAATTTTGTGATGAGGTGTCACAAAGATGCCAGGGCTGGCCTTGAACTGACTCTGTAGTCTACAGTTTGGGTATTCCTGGTCAGCCTACTGAATAACTGGGATTATAGGCCCCAGGTATGACTTCCCTTACTCCAACTACCCCAGGACAAGATCTTGCAAGATAGCGCTGGCTAGCTTTGAACTTGTGGCATTCCCCCTGCCTCAGCCTCCCAAACGATGAGATTAAAGGCAGGTTCTACTTACAGCTGTCTGGATGTAATGTTTCCACCAGTGTCTGTGTTATACAGGCCTTTTATTCTATCTGTGAAGTTGTAATTTTTCTATATAAAACTCAGACTTTAGTGAAGGATCTCCTTTGTTCTCAAGAATAAACCTGTTTTCTCCTCTTCTAAATGGCACCTGCTGCAGCCATCCCTTCTGAGGCGTGGCCTAGTGTGCCTCGGCTTTGGTCTCCAGCTCTACCAAAACAACAAAACTTCAGTATGATTTTGCTTATTTATTTAATGTGTGTTAGATGGTATTTCTGAGAGTTTAGATTTTGCAAGGTTCCCATATGTATTTTATATCAGGAAAAAAATAAAAACACCTTAAAAGTAAGGCCGATTAGTCCAGAGGGGAGACTCTTCTGTTGAATAAGACTGTTCTGTCTGTTGGGTCTGTCTTTCTTCCCTAGGCAGCTACTGTACCCATCGCCGTCCCTGTTGAGCTTCTTAGATAAAAACGGTATTTAATGGGGTGTGCATTGCTTTGCCCTCTCCGGTGACGTGTCTACACCAGCCAGTCCTACTCCCTCGGCAGTCCCCACTGGAGCCTGGGATTGCAAGAAAACTGCTTTTAAATGGTGCAAAGCCTGCAGCATCAGAGCAGAACTGCATCTATTAGCTTCTTTAAAGATGGAACCAGGCCTTTGCCCACCTCTGCTAAGCTAAATGGCACTACCTTCTCTTCTGTGTGCTCGCTCGGGCATTTTATTTATTGCATCTGTATATGTACATTTGCATGTACCACAGTACACACACGGAGATCAGAGACCAGTTTGTCGGAGTTGGTTCTCTGCTTTCACCATTGGGTTCTGGGGTCAAACTTGGGGGACAAATGCTTTTGCCTATTGCACCATCTTGCTGGCCAGTGCCCACGTATTTAAAATTTAGTGTGTGTGTGGTGTACGTACACGTCTCTCTGGGGCTGCAGTTACTTGCACCTGTGTGCACGTAGAGGCTAGAGGAGAGTGTTGGATGTCCTGCTCTATCACTCTGAGACAGGGAGGGTCTGTCACTGAATTTGGTGCTAAGCTGGCAGCCAGCAAGCCCCATTGATCCTGCTGTCTGCCTCAACTGACTGGGTTACAGGACACACAGCCATGCCAGCATTTTCATGTGGGTGGTGGGTTCCAATGCAGGTCCTTGCGCTTAACACAGCAAACTTCGTTACCCACTCAGACCCCGAGTGCTCAATTTTGATAACTCCCTCAGGGACCCCAAATTGTCAGCTGATAATCTCCATCTTTACAGAAGGGATTCTGAAATTTCTGTGAGCTATTTTGTTTTTAAAATCACTGAAAATAAGGGGGGAAAGAATGGGATCCAAACGGCTATAACCATGTGCTCCCTTTAATCCGATGTCTCTGCTCTATGCAGTGTTGGCTTTGTAGGCAAGGGAGTTTATGATTTCCTTGACTTAAGAGGCAGGAACTTCGCCGGGCGGTGGTGGCGCACGCCTTTAATCCCAGCACTCGGGAGGCAGAGCCAGGCGGATCTCTGTGAGTTCGAGGCCAGCCTGGTCTCCAAAGCGAGTTCCAGGAAAGGCGCAAAGCTACACAGAGAAACCCTGTCTCGGGAAAAAAAAAAAAAAAAAAAAAAAAAAAGAGGCAGGAACTTTGGTCTTTTGGTGATGATTTTAAATACTAAGACTCCATTTTTAGTGCTGTCTGCATGTAAGTGAAGCACAAGGGAGAACTGAATTTTTCAAGGTAGTAATCAGCCATTGCTTTGTGTTTGAAAAGTGTGCATATAAACTATGTTGTTATTATTTAATATTGATCAGATAGCAAGTCCAGGTTGCTGACTCCTCAGATTATCTATCATCCATCTTTGGCTTAAAAGGACAGTTTCTGATGGTCTGTCTTACGTTTCCATCAAGAGAAAAAGCAGCCCTTTGACTGACAACCCAAATGGTTTTGTATGACTGGACGGGAGCTTCCACTTTGGTCTGCAGGCTCTTGGTTGGTATCCATCAGGGAAGACTGACAATGACCGCCTCTGTCCTCATATTAAAGAGAATTTCACAGTAGCTTTAGAAATCTGTCACTGAACAGTACTCTTGGCTCTTACCCATTCAGCCCTGGTGTCTAGCATGCGGAGAGCCCAGGGAGCCTGGGAAGGGTAGTGGTGTGCCTTCACTCATCTTGCATATCCCCCTGTCCTGTCCCTGTACCCACAGTGAAGCTGCCGCCCATGCTGTCGCCACGCTGGCTGAAGCCACCTTACAAGGCGGGGGACAGATCGTCCTGTCTGGGGAAACCGCAGCAGCCGTCGGAGCACTTACTGGAGTCCAAGATGCTAATGGTAAGAGAGCATGAATATTTTATTGCGTTTATTCCCTGTTTCCACTTAAACCTTCCTGATACAGCTGGCAACAAACCCTTTAGGAAGAGGCTGAGCTTGGTTTGAGTTTTTCTTGATAGGTTGGCAATTGATGCCTAGGAAAATCTAGGGGCCTCTGATTCCTCTCATTAATAGGATCCTTAAGGAAAATGCCTCTATAATGGCTACCTAATTGGACTAGTTTTTAAAAAATTAGCTGTTTTGCTAAATGAGACTTGCTGAGACAGACTTTAGAATTGCTGTGGGGTGTTTCCTTTCTTTACTGTCCTGCCGGGTAGGGTAGATCTTTGATCTTTACTGCAGCAGGGGCTAGCATTGGGGGGGGGGGGGGGGGCTGAGTGCGCTGACTCCATCCGGAAAGGCACCACCATGTCATCTGTCCCAGGTTATACAGCAGGCTGTGATGAAGGCACTTTTCTGGTTGGTCCTGTGGGTCCTGCTTCTTGTTATGTATGTGGCCTTACCAAGGACATCTGGATTTAGTCAGTAACATGCCACCACCCAGCCCTTCTTCCCCAGCTCTTTGACCTCCTGTATATTGGTGACTATCCCGAATAAACAAAAGGGATAAGGTTCACAGAATAATGGTGGCAAAAACTTACAGCTCTAGCACAGCTCTTGGATCTACTTCAGCAAGCTCTGGGAGTCAGTGGCCAAGACCTGGGCTCCCCAGGGAAGTGCCTCAGAAGTCTGAGTCAAAGAGGAGGACCAGCCTTATCTGTGAGACTGTGTGTGATTGTTTCTTTAATTAAGCAGGACAAATCAGTATCTATGGTATGGAGAAATTGTCATTTAAAAGTCCTGGCAAGAACTTCTAGGTAGATAACACCTTTTTATTTAGGCAGAAAGTTCCTTAGTGGCATCAAATGCCTGGAAGAGAAATTTCAGCTGGGCATAGTGGCACTCTCCTTTAATCCCAGCACTGGGGAGGCAGAGGCGAGCAGATCTCTTGTGAGTTCGAGGACAGCCAGAGCTAAGGAGTGAGACTCTGTCTCAGGAGGGGGGGGCGGGGTTCTGGCACTGTTTGTTTGTTTTCATGGTCAGCCCATGATACCCTGCTGGTGGGGGAAGTCTGGGGAAGACAGTCCTCCTTTGAGAGGGCATTCTGTTCTCCTGGGGGAGAGGAGTGTAGGAAGTACAGAGCTGGTAGCACTCCTGAGAGTCATTTTCCCAAATGGCATACTGCTGCAGCCCCAGGCTGTTTTCTCTGAGGCTGGGGGCCTCCTTCCACTAACCTGAATGGAGGTGGGTTGGTTTTAGCCAGATTGGCAGGACAAAGGACATCTCACACCTGTGTATTCAGGACGCAGTGGATCATGTGGGGCGGGGAGATTAAGGGAAAGCTCCCTTTGTGGCTAGGACCCTGCTTGTTTGTTGACCTTCTCTTCCTCACGTGAGTCCTCATCTGCTCAGAGGGGAGAGTAGGCTATCTAGCCACACAGCATTGTCCTGAAGTACAAGAGCTGTCACTCGGTGAGGCTGCTGAAGTGCTTACTTCAGTGTGGGTCTCAGAGGAGATCTTGTTCCCCATTCTAATAGACTTGATGTGTCTGGGAGAGAGCTGACTGCTTTGGGGTCCCAGCTCCTCCCACCTCTCCTTTCAGGACAGACTTATAAAGAAGTCTAAGCATGCTCTGGGTATCCAGCCAAATACACTGGATGGGCCATATGATACATTGAATCACGTTCTCTACTACCCGGTGCTGGAAGTTACCTCTTTTCTAGTAGTTGGTATGTTGTTGCTGTACTCTTGAGAAGAGAACATTTGTGGTCTACACCCTAAGAGCTACGCACAGTGACACATACCTGTAGTCCTACTTCTCAGAAGTCTGAGAATGGAGGGTCACTTGTTCCCATGAGTTAGAGACCATTCTGGGCAATATGGTAAGAACAGTCTCAAAAATAAAGTTTTAAAAATTAAAAAAAAAAAAATGGCTGGGCAGTGGTGGCACACACCTTTAATCCCAGCACTTGGGAGGCAGAAGTAGGCAGATCTCTGTGAGTTTGAGGACAGCCAGGGCTACACAGAGAAATCCTGTCTCAAAAATCAGCTTAAATAAATAAGTAAGTAAATAAATAAATGAATGAATGAATGAATGAATGAATAAGTAAGAAAGCTTTTAGTCTCCCAAGAGGGCTGTGCTTGCCAACCTCGGGACTTCTGACTCGGGACTTGTCACTTTCTCACTGTAGGCTCTCTTTGTCAACTAGACCAGTGCCTTGTACTCGTCTCAGTGATTTCAGGCAAAAGCATTTTTCTCTGCTCTTGGGAATCCAAACAACGAATATTATAATATGGGAGATGATCCAGATTGTTCTGACATTTCCTCTGTGTTCACTTTCACCTAGAGTGCTATACGGTTTACTCTGGATTAGAATTGGGTGTCCCCTTATCTAGCTAATGGTAGCTGGCCAGACCAGCAAGGGCTGTCTGCATTCTTTCTGAGTGTGTCCTTGTGGTCCTTGTCACTTGTGTATTGTTAAACTGAAAGCATCTGCCAGTAAGCCAACAAGATGTCTTTTTTAAATCAGGAAGAGTTTATTATTATCAGGAAGGTTAATGATGGCAGAATAAAGTCCTGCTTGTAAGAGTAGAACTGACTTGAAAACGGACACTACTTGGGGAGGACATCACAGACTCCAGAAAAGTCTAAAGAACAATCCAAATAAAAGCTGGTTCTTCTTAGAGCTATTTGGATATGGCATAAAGCCTGAAGAGCAGTTTGTGGGGCAGAACTAGCAGGAATGGAGGGTGATGGCCACAGAATTTGATGGAGTAAAGTAACCACTAGGTGGTAGTTTAAAGTACTGAGGATATATACTGGTGTCCTCTAAGACCGGGTTGAAGATCATGACCTATGCACAGCAGAGATAAAGTTCTGGGTCATCAAGACAGACCTGATAAATGCACTCTGTACCCATATACCCTGCAGCCATATCCTTTTTTTTTGGGCATCAACTCCATTCCAACATGACAGGAAGTTGGAGCCCTAGCGTTGGTTGATTCTGTTATGTTCTAAGAGGCTATGCGTATTAGCCTGTTCATTTCCCTTCACTCTCCACCCTCTTCTCTGCTAGGCCCCGGATCCCCTGTGCTCCCAGGACTCATGGCCTCCAGGACCAGCGGACCCAGGCACTCCTGGGCGGGAGGTGTTTATAGACCTTTCCTCCTCCTTCCTATTCTACAGCAGAAATAAGGGAAGAATGCTGTTGGCTCCTAGCCACCTCAGCAACCCCTGCTTTTATGTCAGAAATATTACCACAGATTCATATGGCTATCTTTCCTTCCTAAAAACAAGATGAGGCCAAGCAAAAGAGATGACTGGAGTTGCTAGGTACCCTTGCTTCTTCCTAGAGCTGATGAACGTCTCAACGTTTTCTAAATTAGCTGACCTCACTCTTCCTAGTGATGCAGAAGGAAAAAGAAAGGGCGAAGATGGAGTTTGTTGTGTCCTTTGGTTTGGTTTGTTTGTTTGTTTTGGGGAGTGTTTTGGTATTTTTGGTTTTGCCTTGATTATAAAATTATTGATAATTCCACCCAATAGAATGTTGATGTTTGAAGTTTGTTTTTTAAATCTGGCCTTTTCTTTCTGTTTCTCAAAAAAAATGTTTTCAAGCTAAATAGGATTGTATTGTCAGTATTATTTTGTAACTCATTTTAAAGTATCTTAACCATTTTCATGTCATTAAATCATCTTTCAGAAGGTCACTTTATTATGCTTGATAATATTTCATCATAGTGTCCATAATTAGTGAGCCTCCTATTATTGATAATTTAGCTTATTAATAGTCTTTTTTACAATAAAACAGTAGTTTATCTTTTTACAAAATTCTACACACCGTTAGTTAGTTAGTTAGTTAGTTAGTTAGTTAGCTAGTCAGCTACTCAGCTAGTCAGCTAGCTAGCTAGTTAGTTAGTTGTTGTCACATCACCCATGCTTGCTTATTCTCCCACCCTGGGGTAGTTTTTCCCTACTTTAGGACAGGTAATGAGTTTTGTCTTATTTAAATAGCTTTTTTCTATTAGTAATAGATGTTGCCTTTTTCATGATTTTTGTATTTGAGATGGGCTCATTATGTAGTCCAGGCTGGTCTCAGACTCAGAGGTGGTTCTCTCACATCATCACCTGAACTGCTGGGATTACAGGCACAAGTAAAGCCCTACATGTTTTATCTACACTGGTGCCTTTGTATGTTTCATGTCCTTTAAACGTGTGGGTGTTTTGTCTGTGTCCTAATAACGTTCTCTGTCATATGTGTGCGTACGTATGTTGTCAGAATTCTAGAGAGTAAGCTTCACGTTAGCTTTGAAGTTCACCTAGAGAAATTCGTCTTTATCTCTGCTTGATCCCTGCAGACCTCTTTGCATCATCACTCCCTGTGTTGTCCTGGCTCAGACCTGGGGTCTCAGTCCTCCCTCATGCCCTGAGGGGGGGAAATGGGCTGGAGGACTGTTGAAACATCAAGGCTGCCAGCCTTTGGCAAGGCCTTGACAGTTCATGTACAGAAGGCAGCTGCCCTTGCTCACCTTTGACCCAAGAGCCTGCGTTCCATAGCTGGCCCTGGCAGCGACTCCGGCCGTCAGCTCTCCCTGAAGGCTCTTCCACAGTCCTGCTGTACTACAAACCTGTGTCCGTTTGCTGCCCATCCTGCTGTCTCCTCCTCACTTAGCACGGCCTCGCATTTTCTCATTCTTGGTTTTCACCGACCTCTTTACTCTTGTTTGTTTTGTTTTAAGGTAGGGTCTCTCTACAGAGCCCTGGATGTCCTGGAACTCACTATGTAGACCAGGCTGGCCTCAAACTCACAGAGATTAAGGCATGTACCACCATGCCCTGTGTCCTCCTTACTTCTAAAATCCCCACTTTAGCTTGATCTCAACTGTATTAAAATGCCTCTCTAAGGTTTGATCTTTAGGGCTTGAGAATATGGGTTCAGTGGTAGAGATTGCTTGACGTGTA